ATACATTATATCCTATCGGTACTAATTGTGTTTTAGTCCTGTAATTGATTGGCCCAATATACAACTCCAATTAACCGCATAATAAAATTCCGAATAAAAAAGTACATAAACCAGAAAAAAGTGCTAGTGGAAAAAATTATTTCGTCCGCGTTTGATATACGCGTTTTCGATATGAGTTATGGGACCCCGGTGGCAGCGGCGACGACTTGCCAAGGATTTCTATCAAATATGCACGCCCATGTATATGTATAGGTTCATGTAGTATACGTCCACACCTTCGACTACCCCTGCAGGACTACTGCGGTAAACTCGCAGAAGGAATGTCAAAATGCGCTCTTGAAATATATACGTCCTATTTGAGTCAGTGTTATACAGATATTGAACACGTTCATGAAGCATTTATGCTTACTTAAGATATAAGTTTATGAGCTTTCAGTGCGCGATAAAATGTAAATTGGAACGTTTTTTTTTCGAATTGAAGCTTCAATTCTTTAGTCGGGGGTAATTTTACTTAGTCCCTTTACGACGTGTATCAGCGATATTGGTATAAGAATAACGATTTCTATACATTGCGCTTTGATATCTCTTGCCAGAACAAAACACTTGGTTTCTAATCACTATTATTATGGCAAGAATCAGTGCTCTCGGGAATCGAGTGATTGGCAACCAATGAACTCGCCACATTCTGTTGCCAAGAAACCAGCACTTTTTGTATGATTTTGTCTTAATTCCATTGGTTGTTCAAATGAACTTCGAATAATACCTACTTCCTACGAATATGGCACTAGTGGTACATCATCATGAGTCATATGTTCTATTCTCGTCTAAAAAGTGAAATAATTCTCCCTCAACAGTGGGTCCAAGAAAAAAGCTTCTAACTCCAAGGTTTATCTTGTAATCTTCCATGTCGCAACTTAAAAGTTAAAACAGCAGTCACTAAGGTCGACACCTCCTTTTCTCTTACAAAATTCTGCAGATTCTATGAAAATGGCACTTGAAACTAATAAATTCAATGGCGAAGTGTAGTTTACAATCGGTTTATTTACAAAAAATAACATCTAAGTATAAATTAATCAATAAATAAAATAATCTTTGGTACAACGTAGCATACTACTTTTTTCCTATGGCTGCTGCGACTCCAAGGTAGCCTTGAGCGACAGGTAATACTTTTTCTGCGGCCTTAAATACCCTTTTCCCTGCTGCTTCCTATAAGGAAAACAAAAATTAATTAAACGAATTTCGAAACATAGAGCATTGATTGTAGGTAGAGAATTATTTAATGGTAAATCATACTTACAATTTTTTTCCACCCCTTCCATTTGGCTTCCGCATTGTTTACAAATGCAGACAAGACCAGCAAGGCGAATACAAAAATAACGCTGAATTTCATGTTGGAAGAATGTGTTGAGCGACGCTTCTTGTCGAATGGAACGAGAGCAAGGACTGATGAATTTAGAGAAGATTTATCTCAATTTATACACTAAACAGATGCGGATGATGAACCCGCGGGGAACTACTTCTGACCCGATAATCCGCGTAAATGCCGGCAATTTCTCGATATACGTTCCAACTTGTAATGTATGGAGAAAGGGATTACCCGTTTCATTCGCACTTTCTTTACAATGATTGGGAATTGACCGGCAACATACCACTGCGTATTGGATAAGTATAAAAACTACCGAATACTACGGGTGTGACGAAGAAAAATACACTTATCTGTAACGAATTATATCTTTGCAATAGTTATCAATTTGTCTATAAATAAATTACAAGTTCTTTAATATTATCATTAACTTTTAACAAACAAATATTAATTTAATGTTTTGTTCTTGTCTCGCTTGTACTTAATCCAGTCTTGTTCTTGCCGCGAAGATGGGAAGGACAAAAGTGAATTTAAGCAAGGGGCAAGATTTTTGTCAATAAATGTACACAAAACAATATTTATTGTTTAATACATTGCGCTAAAAAGTGGCGAATCAATACCACGTACAATACAAAACTTTATTTTATAGCAGAGGCCATATAAACCATTGTAAAGCTTCTGACAATTCCGAATTTAACGTAAAAAATAGCAAACTTATAGGTTCTGCCGTTGTGATGGTTTCCATAGAAACAACATTGTCATATGTTCTGAACGTCATTTTATATTGTGCTGCGGCGTCCCTCACGGTTAAAGAGCGACTTCAGCCTACTCATTCAATCCTATCAAAATGTCAATTTACCATATGCTATAAAACAAACAAAATAACTAGAGACGGGACAAGCAGCAAAAAGTCTGTTTTTTAATCAAATGATGAAGGGAGCCCTAAAGAGCCACATAATTACTGTAGAGAAACAATGTTTGGATTTACAAAAGCTGAATAATTGGCTTAGGTACCAATTAGCAGAAAAAAAATGACTTGAGAGGTTTTTCTAACAAAACAATAGAAAGAAAAGAAGTCCCTAGATATTTGAAGTACCGCAGTTCATTATGTTTAACCCAGTTATTTTGCCATTAATACCAAGTATGGTGCTATGCATCCAGGTAGTGCAGAACGAAATTTCCCAAAAATTGCAAACCAAGGGGAAAAACAAAATTTAGTTCATATGCATCAAGACAATGTGTCTTGCCTTTCCTCAGACGAAATTGTTGAATTAATAACGATTTTGCTTAAATGTGGGTATATCATCCCGAAGTAAGATGAAGAACATGTTCTACCTAGAGTACCCGTGTTCCTGGTGCGTTTCTGTACTAAGTAAAATATGTAATTACTTATCTAGAAGCACTGGCAAGGCTGTGGCCAATAATACCTATATTAAATGCATTGCAAAAAAAGATTTGTTAAGTACTCGATACTATATTTTTTTAATTTTTGTTTGAAACCTGAGAGCAACTTGAAATAGCAGCATTGCTTATCAAATCATCAATTCTCATGAACTGTTTAAATTACCAGATGACAGCCCTGCATCGTTTACACAAAGTGTAACTTACATGCTAAAAGACAACACTACACAATATCCGTCTAAATACATACCTTCCTATACAACATTTTAACATCATGCATTTCAAACAAAATATACAAATACTTCAATCCAGACATAGCAAACGAAACATACAAACATATACATACTGCATAGGTATTGTACCTGGGTAGTTACACTTACAGGGGTTGAACTCGGGTTGACACTCTGCGCTCCTAAAATAAAATTTAATTTCTATGGCACTGGCAAAAATGTTTCTGTAACAGTAATTAATCCATTACAATTTATTACCACGGCTGGCTCAATAATAAACCTTTATTTTATATCATATGTTAAAATGACATTTTAATAGGTTTGAATGAGTAGGCTAAGTCGATCTTTAACCGTGGGGGGTAGATACAGTGATCACTTTATCTGCTTGGGTAGATAAAATGAAACAAATGATTGTGCTTTCTAATGACATCTGTCATTCTTATTTCAAATGCACGATTTAAAATGACGTTCAGAACATATGACAATTCCGTTTCTATAGAAACGATCGCTACGGCATTAAATTAGAATTTTACAATTCATGACAAAAAGAAATCACCAATGTTTTCGGTCTGGGTGCGCTTATCATTTATAAAAATACACAAGTTTGTTCATGGGATAAACCCGTGTAAATCGGCCTCTTCAGAATGACTTCAAATGCACATTCCTTATACAAAATCCCCAAAAACGATCGATTCATTTTTTATACAATACATAAAAATTCAAAGAAAAATTGTTTTTGTCTATGCCTTCGAATTTTCTCAAACTTGGATTGAGCAGCAATTTGGAAAATTGGGTGGGGGGGGGACATATTAGGCAACACGACCAGACCTCTTGTATTACCAGTTGAATTGGGTTACTTCTTGCAAATTAATTTCGAAAGATGGTTGACGTAATTTGATCCATGAATAAACCGTGCTGCAAGTTTACTTTGATTTAATTAATTGTTAATTGAGTTATCAACAGTAACCGATGTTCCACAATGTGCAAATGTAAAAAGATTGCCCTTGTAACTTGGGGTTATAATGTTTTATCAGCAAGCAGAAGATTGAATTAATTGTCTTTAACCTTTTTACCGGTAGCCGTTTTGTTTGTAATGTTATGAGAACCACGTATAAACAAATTATATCAGCCGTCCGATCGCCTCTTTCACGTAATGAACTTCTCTTTCTGCACAAAACCAGCCACGTATAATTAGTTTTACTTCCGATGGTAACTCTTAGGGAGTTTAGAAGGCCCCCGTATTCGTTAAACTCGTTAAAAATGGCGGCAGCGTCTTTGGTTGCGAGGCCAACGATTCTCCCACTCCACGATCTCAAAAATAGCGTAGAAAATCACAATATTCGCCTTGATTTCGTTTTACGCGATCTATAAATCTCAGCATTTACAGTTCGCACCGAAGGTTCGGCTAAGAAATCAATACGCGATCGAAAAAATGTCCCGTTTGACCGTCGTAGATTCTCTTCCAAGGTTTAAGTATGTCCCATCGGGTTTTCTCTTATGTAGGTACCTCGACGATTGAAAATTTTGGAGCGAACCCGCTGCAAAACCAGCATTTACTCGGATTTTTAGGCATAAGATTGCCCTTCTAATGCTGTGTTGCGACGGATTTTAAAGCCAGCAACACTGTAACGTTTCGGCTCTTATCTGCTTGAACCCTTGCTTCTTATCTTAAAGCACATTATTTCTCGAATATTAGTTCTGTTCTCTTTCATTATGAAATGGTACACGTATAAAATTTCCTATACCGGCAAATTTGTACATTTAACAAAAAATCCTTCAAGCTTAAAGCTACAAGGGTTCGCGGTTCACTCCTTTTGGGCCAGGAAATGAGGGTAAATAAAATCCAAAAATAATTGTCGAATAATGATGATTGTGAAAGGGTGTGTCAGTGCATTTTAACTAGAATGATACCCGTACCTCATTGATGAACGTTCTACTTGTTTGGTACCTCTTTGAAATTTAATTTTATTAGATCTTTACACTTTATATTTAATCTTTGGACCTAATTCTTCTGTTTTGTAGTTTATTTACAAAAAATATTATCAATAAAAATACATAAATAAGACAATCTTTAGTGCAATAATTTGATCAATTACTTTTTTCCTACAGCTGCTGCTACTCCTACATAGCCTTGAGCGACAGGTAAAACCTTTTCGGCAGCCTTAAGCACCCTTTTCCCAGCTTCTTCCTATGGAATCAAGAAGTAAGAGTATTGTATGCAATAATGCTAAATCTTCTACTTACAATTTTTTTCCAACCTTTCCATTTCGCTTCTGCATTATTTACAAATGCAGACAAAACCACCAACGCGAATACAAAAACGCTGAATTTCATGAAGAAGTGTTGAGCGAGTTACTTGTCGAATGAAACCAGAGCAAAGACGAATGCATTTGAAAAAACTTGATGTTAATTTATACGCTAAATAGAAGGGGATGATGAACCTGGGGAACTACTTCTAACCCGATAATCCGCATAAATGTCGGCTATTTCTCGCTACATACAAAAATATATGAAGAAAGGGATTCCCCCACTTGATTTCGCTTTCTTTACAATGAATGAGAATTGATCACCTACCTACAACATAAACTGCGTAATGGATTGGGTGATGCAAGCTAGCAAATAATTTACAGATTGTGGGTTTCGAAGAAACATACGATTTATGACTTATGTGTAACAAATTGTTTCATTATCAATTTGTCCATAAACAATTTTTTTTTTCACTACTAGCGTCTGATGACATGATTATTAACCTTTTTTCCACTTGTAAAGTAGGCTTTCTCGGCATTTGTTCAAAGTGGTTAATAATTTTTTATTATTAACTAGTAGTCAATAATGAGAACTGTCACGCTGTCACTTTTAGAAAACACAACCCGAAATTTCGCTCAATGAACGTTTAGACAAGTTCTCTAAAACGAATAATTGCCACCATTCGCAATTTCCAGAGAAATTACATACCTAAAATTATCACATTTTGAAAAAATTCGAACGAAATTACTCTTTGAAAATATCTCAATGACAGAACAAAATACGGCCTGTTTGACTTGTACTTCCACGTACTTGATTGACATGTTAAATTAAGAAACAAACAATTCTGTCCAACCGTTAACTCTCTTATCAATATAATATGTTAATTTAGAGGATTTCAAGTGCTAGTAGTGAAAAAAATAGTATATATACCACGGTAGAGAAGTCTATTATTGCCTTCGCACCTTACACCCCTCGGCGCAAGCGCCTCGAGATGTAATCTTGGTGCTCAGGCAATAATAGTGGACTTCTCTACCTTGATATATAATGTACTATTTCGTATTAATCATCTTTTATCTTTTTTTAATAAACAGTATGGCGAAAGTTTGAAAGATACGACTTCAATATATATTAATATTATTAATAACATCTAGCTAATCATGGTCATTGTTGGGAAAAAAGGGTGTTCTGAGTTAAACACATAAAACTGCAAATTTTTTTCCGATTATTATTACCTACCTCTTATAATTTCTAAAATCCCCATACTACTTATTAAAAAAATCTCACCCTGTATATTATTACTTTTCAGCTCATTTTTGTAAATTTATTTGTAAAAAGGTAGCTTTAATTTCAATTTGGCTGGCTGGCTAGCTGGCAGCAAATAAGGGCCCGTAAAGATCGCTTGTAGAAGGACGAGGAGTGTACGGGTAGGTACGAGCTTTAGAGACATGGCTACATGATGTGGAGTATGCGGCATTTGGGCGCCATCCCCTAGCGTGGTTTACGAACGGGGTGATTTTTCAGTTTTTCCCTATCCTATTCTTGCAGCGAAGGCTTTTCTGCAAATAATTTTGACAGTTTCCTTTGTTTTTGTAAAACGGGAAATTGCAACAAGAAAACTGTGTCATTAAAAAATTAGTCAAATGCCATCGGCTACCACTTATTATTCTTTACTCAAAACTTTACCTCCTAATAACTCCCCTTGCATAGTGAAAGATCTCCCTTTCTGTAATCTGAAAATGTGGTAGAAATAGTTTTTTCCTTTTCACTTTTCAGCAAAATAATAACACCGAAAGGCTATATAAATGTATATGGAGGAAAATCAGAAAATATTAAATGTTGTTTAAGAATGCATCTTTACCACATCTTAATTCGATATAAAGTTTTTGGGATTCCTTTTTGATTCCAAGGAAAAAATGAACTAGGAGCGACACCAATTCCAGTGCGTTGTTTTAATTGCAAAATACATTGAAAATACAACATTTTTTAAGCTGATTTGAACCCTTTAAGATCCCTATTTAACATTTTAGTTCTACATATGCAACAGATTAATATTTATTTATGACAATGGATCTCAAAAGTATCTATTGAAATTGGCGAACTAAACAAATATGACTAACCTTTATTTACAATTCTTCTTGGTCATCCACGCCCTGAAATGCTTACTGCTAACATGTTTACTAGTCAACTTGGGATTCATATCAGATGTTTCCTACAGAACTGCATACTTAAACGCCCCCGTTATGGAAAATCTCCCGATTAAAATTCTTTTTCGCACTCGGTGCGTAATATATCTATTATTCATTGAAAATTTATTCACTTCTTACGAGTTGCATTGCACAACGCCGAAGTTTTTTTTGCCTTACCGGCTGGAGGATTGTCTTAAAGTTTTTTGTGAAGAACGTCTTTGCCCACCCGAAGAGAAGATGCTGCGATTACCCGATGTCGTTAGTCTAAAGCTAAAGCGTCATTTGTGTTAACTGGAAATTTTAATTTTTGTGAACTGTGTACGGATACCTTTTGATTGGATACTTGTTGTTTGTGTTTTTGTACCATGTTCCTTTTGTGTGTTAAGATTAAATCGCAGTTTTGTAATTTTCACATTAATTTCCAGCAATATCTATTGGTGATGTCAAAGCTTTCAGTGCAAATATCTGCAGAATGGAGTGTTAGAGGATTTTGAATGTATATGCCAGGCGGCCTTTAAAAGTTTATGTGTAAAGAGCCTTCTCCCCATTAATCATCTACCAAGAATAAACGTCGACAGCTTATAGCCCAACCATTTACTAAGCTATTTCGCTTGATCTGAAATATGCAATATTTGGAGGTGTGAGATCTTTACAATTTCTTATGATATATACCTATGAATTTCACTAAGTAAATGCGATTAAGTATTGTTCTTTTGTTTTAAATAGGTTTATTTACAGAAAAGTGGTAGAAACATTGAATAAATAACAAATACAAATATAGGTAATAAATAAGAAAGCATTTGGTGTAATTAATAAATTACTTTTTTCCTACGGCTGCCGCGACTCCAACGTAGCCCTGGGCGACAGGTAAAACCTTTTCTGCTGCGTTAAATACCCTTTTCCCAGCTTCTTCCTATAAGACACCAAAAATTAATCTAATGCCCATTTAAAGTTAGAGCATACTTACAATTTTTTTCCATCCCTTCCATTTGGCTTCTGCATTGTTTACAAATGCGGACATAACCACCAGTACTAATACAAAAACAACGGAGAATTTCATATTAAACAAAAGGTTGAGCGTTTGTCACTTCGTTGTTTGCACAAGATGAAAGAAAAAACTGATGGGTTTGGATCGGATGCATTGGATTTTATACACATGTATGGGCTACGGATATTTAACCAGGGGAACTCCTTTCGACCGATAGGTAATCCACACACATGCCCGGCGTTTTTCGTTACATACCCATTAACACTTTTTATGGAGAAAGGGACTACCCGTTTCAATCACGCTTCCTTTAGAACTGATAACGTAAATAGCATATTGAGGAAAATATGCAATATTATTATATATCCGATTCTGTACTCAGTATACAGGGTAGTCATTTTGTGTTGAGACGGTCGATTATTGCGGAAACTAGTGGGTATATACAAACATTATTTTTATTTGCATATGGAAGGGCCAATTTGATTACGCTATGCACATTTTCATGTAACTGTCCCTTAGGATAAAGTGTAGGGCGAATTGATTTTTTCAAATAGGCGACAATAAAAGGTAGGTACGTACTTTATCCCAAATCGAGTTGCTTACACGTTATCAGGTTTACAGACATGCCGGGGCGTAGATAACGCCAACAGTTGTTGCGCCGGAAAATTCCAATTAGACTAGGTACTGATTGGATTAATGAGTAATTATTGAAGTTTGAATGCGGCTTAATTGAGTAAGCATGAATACATGAATGCCGTTTTAATTAGTTGTAGAAAAATCCGGCAGGCGGCGTTTAAAGTTATCTCAAAATGAGCGCCCTAAAAAGACGGGGGATGCCGATGTCCATCTTATATTTTTCCGACAATTACAGGCCGAGTAATTATTTAAAAACCCAACTAATTTGCACCGCTTTAGTACCGAATACGGCGGAAATTCCCTATTCCACTTCTCTAAAATTCAGATCCCCTTATAAGGTAAATACTGAATTTTGTGGGCATCTTTTGCTGTTTGTAATGACCGTCATTTTGCCGTCATTTTTTATTCTTTTGGTAAGCAACTTAATTTATTGAGTACATTTTTGCCAAAACGTACCGTAGTTTAATCTTTTGCCATTTCTAATTACTGTAAATTTGTACTGCTTGTACTTTTCTGGTTTTGCATTTTTCACCGTCAAGTTTTGTAGGTACCGAAATTATGAATTTGCTTTCCACCGCATTCGCCGATTTGTGCTTTATTGCTTTCGCTCCCGACCGTAATTTTATTTTAGTTTTGCGGAAGTGGCCGCCGCCATCTGCTGAACCCGTAGAATTCTTGGAGTTACCGTTTCTCCAATTGAGTTGACCCCAGAGGCTGCCGAGACCGGCCTACCAGTCCGTAGCTACCACCGACCTCTAGCAAACGCGAGATATTTTTAAATTTTTTTGAAATGCAAACTTACCCAAAAAAATAAACAACTTGATTTAACAGCATGTGACAAAACATCCGGCATTTATACCGAAACAGGGAAGCCAGTCAGGGCGCACATTTTAACCTCACCAATAAAGCGATTTTAAAATTTCACCGGATCTTTACATTTCAAGGTGTCAGGAGTCCAAAAAAGTGCTTTTTAACAAATGTCCGTATATACAGGGTGTTCCAAGTTGGACACTTTCTTATGGAAATGCCCTTTATTTTAAGAGATAGAAAGAAACGGACCTAGGTGTCTGGAGCTCAATTTTAAAGAGTAAATCACTGCGCAAACAGAATTCAGCTATCTCTAATCGTTTGGCCGCTAGGTGGCGTTTCTCGAATTTGGTCGATTTCTTCAATAACTTTTTTATTATTAAAGATAGGTATTTAAGTTTGACAAAATCTTTCTTAGAGCACTTAGATTGCATTTTATGCATTAAATTATTTTTATTGCAGACATCTTGGTTTCCATGGTGAACGAAAGATGGTAGAATTGATCAAAACGACAATTTCTTGATTATCTACATTATTTATTTATTTATATACTATACCTATTATGACTTTGTTTTATTCACATGAGTTTTCACGCCCTTTGTTTTTTGTGCCTTATTTGAAATAAAAAATTTTTGGAACGAATAAGAATTTCCAAATAGCCAAGAAATTGTCATTTTAAACAATCCTGTTATCTTTTGTTTGCCACGAAAACCTAGATGTCTGCAGTAAAAATATTTTAATGTATAAAAAGCAATATTGCGAATGTTAATATTTAATACAAATATAAAAATTTTTACGGTTTTTTCAAAAAAATGTAGTTTAGGGTCGTAAAACAAAAACTTGTATTAAAAACTGGGAATCGCGATGGATTCTACATAAAAAAGTGTCCTAAGAAAGATTTTGCCAAAATTCATTATCTTTAATAATAAGAAAGTTATGGCGCATTAAAGAAATCGACATAATTCGAGAAACGCCCCCTTGCCACCAAACGATTAGAGATGAATTTTGTTTGCCCCAGTGATTTTCTCTTTAAAATTACAACACCAACTACTACTAAATCAAGAAAACAACCTTGCTACTAAATATTGTATAATTTATTACATACTTAGGTATACAGATATCGTATATGTACATATAATTATTATATTAACAATAAATTAAGTGTCAAAGATTTCAACTAAAATTTGATTTCACCCACAACACCTATTTGGCCTTGTGGTTTCATTCCTTGACCCGCAGCACCCTGCACCCCAAGGTTAATTCTAACTTGCGGAGTGGAAACTAGTGGGACTGAAGCTCCGAGGGATCCTTGAATGGGACCACCACCAACTTTACTAGCCCCTATGTGCGCTGTGGCGCCCCCTACGTGCTTATAATTTGCACCGATTTCATTTATTGCTGGTCCCACGGGCTTCAAATCTCTGTTCAAGAAACGATCGTGGTGACCTTGTACATCCAGTCTATGCGTAGGTGTATCGAAGATATTGACCTTTCCATATAACGAGCTCGTGCCGCCAACTCCCGCTTGTACAGAAGCCCGTGCTCCGGCAAATCCATCGTTTGGTAGGTTGACGTGTGCACCTCCGCCAACATCCACCGGACCTAGTCTTCGCCCATCGTAACTACCTGATAGCGATCCCCATGCCGGACCATACTTGTAACCGCCCATTCCACTGATTCCATCGCTGGGTTGGAAACCTCCGAAAAACTGCGCCATACTTTGCTGCACACACACAACCACGAAGACTAACTTTAAGATGTGCTTAACCATTGTTTGAGTTTTTTTTGTTTGGACTGGATCTATACGAGATGCTGTCGTTCTGATGAAGGGTGGTAATGCTCGCGGGTATTTATATGGAGGTATTGAGTCGTTAGTTAATTCCCGCCAGGGGATTCTAGTGAAGGGTTTTTACGAACACCATAAAGTTATCGCTGTACGAAGTTGTAATCTTTGACCTTGGAGGTTTCATCATCTTAGCGATAAAGATTCTTTTCTGAAGATTTACTTCTAGCAACTTTTATTATTAGCCTTATGACCATGTACTTACCTTTAAACGGTGTTCTTTTAGTACGTATGTATGAATGTGAAAATTGAGCCTATTAGAGGAATTTCCTTTAGGTAATGGCTTTATTATGCTCACTTTGTGTGGTCAATGATTTGAGTTACTTACTTTTTCATTTTTCTTTTATGAGAAAACGCGCTACATACCTACATGGCGAATCAAGCGTAACCATACTTTGGATTTTGTTCTTAGTAGTTCCAAAGTAGATATTACAACTTTAGGGAGTAATGGCGCCGTTGTATTGTTGTAAATCGTCTTATGCTTTAGCGGAAGAGTACACAGCGCAACAAGACCATGAAAGTTAAGACTTGGTCATCCACGTGGTTTTGAATTTGGCCTATAGGAAGGGCGCAATTTGAATGTTAAATTACCACTTATTTAAAATATGAATTACAAAAGCTTAATTCCGTTATTTGACACAGTAAATTTTTCCGGTTGGTCACTATTAATTGTTTCCCGTCCGTAGTAGGGTAAAAAGTTATGGAGCAAAATTTACTATTTAGGTATATCTGTTGGCGGGGGTCAAAAAATTTCAATGTTGCAAAGATATTATGGTTACGTAGTATCAAATTAGTTTTTCCGTGTTTTATTAATGGTAATTACAGGTATAGCCTACGAGTATTTTTTTTTACTCTTAGCAGGTACTAGTCGTTTGTATTCTATTTATTCAATAGCATATTGCATGTATATAATACGCACTTCCTCAAGGAAAGTATGACACACAAGTCCCTTAAAAATCACACTCCTCTCTTTCAGTTAAATTTGGGTCCCTACTCAATTTGGCACAAAGAAAGTTGGTAACTTGGGAAGGGCTCAACATCGGATTGCAAAAACACCAACCTTATAATAAAATGTATTGGCAAGCAATTAAAGCTGCTCCACAAAAAATGTCTCCAGATAAGACTGATAAGGAAACCGCTAAAGTCAAAGGTTACTCATGAAAATTACGAGTGCAATTATTTTATTATCATAGTGTAAATACCCTCTCACAAGGATTCCCTGGCGGGAATTAACAGCAGATCCATCGCATATAAATAAGGTGGTAACATTCATCAGAACATTAGAATCTGGTAGTCTGAAAGAAAACATATACAATGGTTAAACAAGTTTTCAAGTTAATTTTGGCAATTGCGCTTGTTTCGCAAAGTATGGCGCAATTCTTCGGAGGTGGTGGTTTTTTGCCGAGCGGTGGAATCGGTGGCATGGGCGGTTACAAGTATGGCCCGGCATGGGGATCACTATCAAGTAGTTACGATGGCCGAAGATTAGGTCCGGTGGAGGTTGGTGGAGGTGCACACTTCAAGCTACCGAACGATGGATTTGCCGGAGCACGGGCTTCTGTACAACCGGGAGTTGGCGGCACGAGCTCGTTATATGGAAAGGTCAATATCTTCGATACACCTACGCATAGACTGGATGTACAAGGTCACCACGATCGTTTCTTGAACAGAGATTTGAAGCCCGTGGGACCAGCGATAAATGAAATCGGTGCAAATTATAAGCACGTAGGGGGCGCCACAGCGCACATAGGGGCTAGTAAAGTTGGTGGTGGTCCCATTCAAGGATCCCTCGGAGCGTCAGTGCCACTAGTTTCTACCCCACAGGGCGGAATTAATCTTGGAGTGAAAGGTATTGCGGGGGAAGGCATGAAACCACAAGGTCAGATTGGTGTGGAAGGTGAATTCAGATTTTAGTTGTAGTTTTGTTAATTTATTATAAACGTAAATAAATTATTGTACAGTATATTCGTTGTTACTTCTCCTACTACGGTAGGTAGGCTGGTTTTCGTAAAGAGGGCCGTGATATTCCGTGGCCGATAGGCCTAAGCAAACGTCATGGTCGAGTTTTGTTGTAGAACCTCCGCTCGACGGTCCCACGAGGGGCAAATGGGGGGATTACCGCCCTCCCCCAAGACCATTCGGTCGGTGGTGAGTAATTCGCAAACGCCCAACAAGGCGCTATTACTTCCTCCGTCCGTCCGTCCGAGGCCTTAACTGCTCCCACAGTTTTGAACGTATTTTGTCCGTTCTTTTTGTGTTCGGTAGCTTAAGCTCTGGCACCTCAACCAATAAAAATCGCGACGATTAATGTGCACATGCGCAGACTGCGCAATGTTCATTTTTTTTTTTATTTATTGAGATAACTCTGATTCGCGGATACTTCTGATAAAGAAATACGTAACGCAAATAGCTATGGCCTTCTGGAAAATACTGATAAATGGAGGAAAAATGTGCTGAGTTACTCACCTTAGGGCGAAAACCTTTTTACTTCCATTTATTAAAAAGAAGGACTGTTAGTGAATAAGTTGAAACTTGCCTTGTTCAAATTCCTGAGAAAAATTGGGAATTGTTTATAGATCAATTTGGGTTAAGTCAAAGGAGCTGTTCTTTTTTTAGTGAAAAATTAATTTATGCTATTGACAAACGTTTTTACTTAAATAGTATCATCGCCTCACCTGTGTTTTTTAGAAGATAGTAGGTAGGGTCATGTGTTAGTGAAAAACCGGACGTGTCGTTTGCTTGTTTTTCTACATTGACTGTTTGAACACCTTGTACAAACGACATAACTTTATCAACCAATTATTTTCATAACGCTACTAGGTACCGGCATAATTATGTTGGTGCAAGAATGAGATTCCATCTTTTTTTGTGTGAAATAGATCGCACCCAGGGCCGTGGCCATAGGGGGGCAAGAGCGGGCTGCCCGCTCTTTGGGACCCACTTTGCCCGCTCTTGAAAGTTGCCTAATATATATTGCGTCATGATCAAATATAGAGGAACAGGAAGGTGCTTAGTATTCGGAATTATGTCACCTATTAAAATTGGATGATTTAAAATTGACCTTGCAATTCCGATGTATTTTGTTGAGATAAACTCTTCTTCTTCTAATTCCAATTGGCATTTTTTGATTTTTATATAAAAGTCTATAATTTCTTTGTTTATTAAGTAATCCGAAATGTGTTTATTACAAATATTGTTTTATAATCTACCATTTTCAAAGTAAGTTTACGAGGTCAAGAAAAAAAAGATATCGGACCTAACCTCATTTTTTAAATGCAACACACTGTATATTTTAATCTAAACAGACAAAATACTAAATTCTCTTCAAAACTATAGCACAACAGGGATGATATTAAAAAAAAAGATTCAATCGCTTCAAAGAAATTCAAAAAAGATTAAAAAGATTCTTATAATAAAACAACAACAAAAAAAATTTTACACCATTTTTTAAACACTTCTTTTTATTCTTTTCGAATTGAATCCATTTAAAAAACGCGGTTAGGTCTGATAAGTTTTTAACCGAACTCCGTATACTTATTTTGAAAACAGCAGAGTATGCAACAATCATTGAAAAGAAACTTTTGTAATAAACACTTTTCCGAAATAGTTTGTTTTCTATTATGAAATGAGTAAGGTCTATTGTGTAGGTGCATAAATGGTATACATAGATTGTTATCAGTTTTACCACTTGAACCCGTAGTATAAGAGAAGGATGTGTGCGTTTTGGATCTCTATAGAAACCCAGATCTCAATGATCGTCAGTCCACCTGTGTGCACTCATTTTGTGCCAAACCACTGAACCGAAGGTAATTAAAGTTGGCACACGTGTTCTTAGGAGAAAAATGAACGGCTGAACAGCATTTGAAAATGTGCATATTCTTAGCGTATTTTCCTCAAAGTGAAAAATCGCTATTGACTGCAGTTTGACGTCCGTCCGTCCGTCCGTTCGCCCGTCTGTCCGTCACAAGTACTCCTTCTAAACCACTGCCCCGATTTTGGCGATATAAGACTCATTTGAAAAGGCTTGGTCCAAGGATTCCGTGCATACCCATATTTTTTGGTTTTGTGCATGCGCAGTGTCAAAAATTTGGTTTAACGTATGTGCGATGCTACCTTTTTTATTTATGAAGATATTTAAATGAAACTTTATATGTAAACACTACGAATATAAGTAAAATTAACGGCATTTTCAAATTTTTGTTTTGCGCATGCGCAATGCCAACTTTCTTAGTTATGAAGGTATTTAAATGAAATTTTATAAATAGGCATTTGGCATAACTAAGACAAATCTAACACCAGTTGCAAAATTTGGTTTTGCGCATGCGCAATGGCAACTTTCTTATTTATGAAAGCAGTTAAACGAAATATCATATGCGATATGTATTTTCCAAGAAAAATGAGTTTTTACAGGGGGTGATATTACCGCGGGACACAGCAAATCATTATTTCGCCCGCCCGCTCTGTAGATTTATTGACCCGCTCTTATAAATCAATCTGGCTACGACCCTGGCCGCACTAACCGTCTCAATTTAGTTTTTACATGAAAAAGGGCAAATCGGACTGGTAAGAGAAAAGTTCAGTACATAATTTGCATAGAAAAGAGCTCTAAATTCTGCGTCGATTACTTTTTCATCGAATTAAAGAAAATGATTTCATGATAATATGGCACCTCAATCACCATCAACGCCCTGGTGCATCAAGATATCCGAGGGGGGGCCATGACGTCAAATCAACCAAACTTGCACCAATACTCACTGCTCATACTGCAAAATTGGGACACGAACATAAACAGTTTTAATAATTACCAAAGGATGAATATGAGAATATGAGATCATCAGATCTATAATTGTCCCCCCATTAATCTGTCCTTGGATTCGGTTCTTTTTGTGTGTCGTTTCCAGCTATTAGATTTTCGTGCGCGTTTAATTATTTAAGATTAACTTAAAGAAGCGCCCGTCGAACGGGGAATCCTTTTCTTCAACTATCATCCGCATTATGGACATTACAACAAAATAACTACTCGGAAGTTACTTCCCCGAGTTCACTACACGCACTTCGAAGATGTATAAATTCCGATCGACCTTTGCATCTTCACCAGTCGAGTTCCTCACATATCGCGGATTTCGTAAATTAGACATGAAGATTTCCGTAATTTTTGTATGCGCATTGTTTCTCTTGTCTGTTTTTGTAAACAATGCAGATGCGAGGTGGAAAGGTTGGAAAAAACTTGTAAGTAAAATTCAATAAATTCCTTTTTCGTCTTTCACTTTTAAGTTGCGTATTTTTAGGAAAAAGCAGGAAAACGGGTACTGAAGGCCGCAGAAAAAGTTTTACCGGTTGTTCAAGGCTACGCCGGAATCGCAGCAGTTGTTGGGAAAAAATGATGGATATTATAATATCTAGCGAATGTACAAATTATATTTATTTTTTATTTATTGTACCTTAGTAGCTGATTTTTTGTTAGTAAAGCATAATAACAATATATTTAATGTTTGATTATTAACTAAATGTCTTCAGTTTATACTATTTTTGCAGTTACAGTTAGTATACTCGAAAAGCTCCATGAAGTTAGAGTACCTACAACCTTTGAATATAAAATTAGGTATAAAATTAGGAAGAAGTCTAGCCTAATGGGAACTTGTGGATCCGTGACAATCGCAGGAGAGGTAAGGTGTACCTCTCCCACTTTTATAATAATATAATCGGTTTTAGAGCGAATAATTATGCTCCGAATTGCGTTTGCACTGAAGATTTCAATACTGTAATCTTTTGTTGGTACGTATACTAGTCGCGCGCACTTTAAATGAAAACGCTGCCGATACCAATTGGGATACAAAAAATTTCATAGAACAAAAATTGTAGACAATTAAATTTACTATAAAAAAGTCCGCGACGGCATATATCTATCTTTAATCGTTTAGCCATATCAACCATTTAAAGTTGCACATCTTGATTGCGTTGGCATTCATAGTATCTTTGATTGCTTATCATATATTAAGGGTTGAAGATACATATATGCCATCGCGGACTTTTTTGTAGGAAATTAAATTCTCTACAATTTATCTTTTATAACTTTTTTTTGTATCTCTTTTTGTTTTCTCAGCGTTTGTAAAAAAATGTACGCACATCTTAATTTTGAACTTTTAATAAACTTTTTAGTTAAAAAAGAATCTGGCGTAGGTACGACTCGAACCCTTGACCTACATGTTGTTATAATTTCAGGTGCTTTTGGGGGTTCCGGTTGGGATGATCGAAGCGTTGTAAAAATTGAAACTGTCGTTATTTTTTTGCCATTCTGCTCAAAGCGCAAGGGAAATATGCGAAAATGGGAAATGAAAAAAACGATGTTCTTATTTTTATTTTTATTATTAGTGCAATTCACATATTATCGAGCTCCTTGCGAGTATAATAAGGAAGGCCCTTTTGACATCTACGTGAGTTATGAAGTGAATTGCATCAAATTCAATATGGGCATAGCTTTAGCAATATAATACGCAATGGCAAAAGGTGAGCCTAATCGATTCAAAATGCATAGTGCTCTTTTGGTATCTCGGCCATATATGAACCGAATTGCAAACTTTTTTAAATTTAGAAATGTATTTAAATTACATTTGATACCTACGTATGCACTTGGAATAAAAGCAAATGTAACGCCATTTTCAAAATTTGGTTTTGCGCATGCGCAGTGCCAACTTATTTATTTATGAACATAACAGGTTACCCCAATAACAATGTTCATGTATTGTTAATAAAAAAACTATTCGAAAACATAAAGAATATAAAGAATATATGTTAAGTTGGTAAAAAAAACAAAAGAAAAAAAAAGAAAAAATGCTGTGAAAAATTTTTTCCAGTCCTTGGATATTGTCACACGATCTTTCAAACTGTCTTAGGGCAAATCTAACACCAGGTTCAATTTGGTTTTGCACATACTATAGCCATACCCAAGAGCTCGTTTGCTATATTTTTTACACAGATATTTTTACCCATACTAATAATACACTATCAGAAGGGCGTGAAGCAAAGCCCTATAATTCATCAAAAGTATGGTTTGGGCTGGATGTCATTTCACTCAACAAAACCAAATGTACTCTATGTAAAAAAATCCGCTGAATCTGAAAATCATAATCCCCTGGCCGGAAACTCCCGAAATATATTGTTATACAGAAAAAATGAAGAAAAAAAATGGGAAAATGTTTTTTTTCGCATTTGACTGACGTTAACTATCGCCCCGAGTGAAAAAATGAAGAGAAGTGATATTTTTTATGAACTTTTCCATTTTTTTTTCCGGTGAGGTATTCAAGTAAATTTGTTTAGAATCGAATTGTCTATGGAGACCATACATTTAGTGTGGAACGTTCATTCTTAATTGTTATTGTTTTTATGGAGAAATATAAAAAAAACGCATTTCCGAAAATTAACAATCTGTTATCACTGAGTAAAATTCATCATTCATATTTGGTCCCTTCTTTTGATAACAAAACAATACGACAAACCCGATCACCGTAGGTAGGTATTATAGTCATTGATTAAATAAACAAACAAATTGGATAAGTCTCATAACGTTCTAAATTTTTGTACAGATGGTGGAACCCCAAAGCAACCTTTTCCTAATGTTGTCTCGATGATTTCTGCAAATTGACGGACGGATTTCGACGTATTTTTTTTTAATATTAGGTACATTTTCCGAGAGGTTTCTGTTCGCCTATTATGGAGATTTCTTGTTATATTTCGGAAATTATTCCATTTGTTAACTAGCAAAAGTCTTCGGATTTTCCAAAAAAAAATTTGACAGTCCGTCGATTTGCAAGAATCATCGGGACAATTGTTGGAAACGGTTTGCTTAGGGTTCCACTAGCGGAAATAATTGGGGGAGAATCTGGGAGTCACCCACCTTGAAAGACAAAGCATGGATTTTTTTAATTTGTATTTTTAATTAATCAATGACTATGATATCTACGGTGATCGGGTGATCGGTTGCCGTATTGTTCCGTTATCAAGCTACGGATAATATAAAAGATAGAATGAATTTTGATTAGTAACAGATTGTTAATTTTCGGGATTACTTTTTTTATATCTTTCCATAAAAAAGCAATAACTTTTGAAAATGAATGTTCCATACCAACTGTATCTTATAGAAAATTCGATTCTAATCAAATTTATTTCTCTTCATTTTCTCTCAGAGCAATAGATAACGAGATAATTGAAGTCAAATGCAAAAAAGACGAAATTTTCCCATTCTTTCTTTCTTTTTTTACGTTTTATAACAATTATACAGGGTCCTATAACACTGCGTCGGTCTTTTCTAGTTCATACCTGGTAAAAAATAGCAAAAAATCTTTTGTGCAAATGTCAACTATAGAATGTTATGCATATACAGAAATTATTTTTGAATGTACAGAGTGTCTCATGTTTACGGTGTCAATACACAGCTGATTTTTTTAAATGGAACAGTATGTTTATTTTTAGCTAATTCGATGTCATTTTTTAACTTCTGCAGGCCAAATTATTAATTTTTTTTCGAATAATTCTCTATAAACCAACCCCACTTTGATAAATCGTAGCGACCTTGATTTTAAAGGTAAGAAATAGAAATCAATAATTTTAATTCGAATAAAAGGCAACACACAAAAATTGTAAAATTTCTAGATTTCAAAGTGCTATAACTATTTTTATTCAAATGGAACTACCACTATTTTGTTTCTCTATTCGATGGTCTGTTGTGCGCTCTTCAATTCTTAGAAGGGATATCCTGTGTCTGAACCCCGTAGTTTTTAAGTTATTCAATATTTTTCACTACGCAGTTGCACATTAATAAATTACATGTTTATAAACAGGAGTAAACCGTGATAATAAAAAAACCAAAGAATGCCAAATAGTAAACAAGTGCCATAAATTAATTGTTTGCTGCAAGTGTACTCATTATTTCCTAGTAAAATAAGATTTTTAAAAAGACTAGTTCGAAATTCGCCTTTTTAATTAATCTTATTTTACTACGAAATAGGGAGCACATTAATTGGAGCAGATAATTTACTTGTGACACTTGCTTACTGGAATTCTATTGGTTTCTATTTCTATTATCATGGCTTACTCGATCCTGTTTATAAACATTAAACATGTAATTCATTATTGTTTTGTGAAAAATATTGAATAACCTAAAAATTAGGGGGTTTAGGCACAGGAGACTCCTTATAAAACTTAATAGCACACAAAACCCTATCGAATAGAGAAATAAAATAGTGGTAAGAAAACATTGAATCGTACCATAAAATTTCTCACAACCTTTGAATTTAAGATTCAGTCACAAAACGAAAGGTACCCACATTTACTTTCAAACGCCGTGAAAACGAAACTTCGTACAGAAAAACTCATAAAACATAAATTGTAGAGAATTTAATTTCCTACAAAAAAGTCCGCGACAGCATATATGTATCTCTAACCATTAATATATGATAAGCGTTCAAAGATATTATTGAAACCAACGAGGACACTAGGTACAACTTTAAAAGGTTGGTAAAGCTAAACGATTAAAGATAGATATATGCCGTCACGGACTTTTTTATAGTAAATTTAATTGTCTACAATTTTTGTTCTATGAAATTTTCTGTGTCTAAATTGGTATTTGCAGCGTTTTCAATTATGTACGCGCGCCTACTATCAACATAAGAGTACGGTAACAAATCAACGAGTGCAAGTGGGAGACTTCAGGCTATCTTTGTCCTACATATAAAACGCGCTGTAAGAAGGAAGAGCAGTGACTGCCTTCGGAAAGCGCGTATATAAATCCAAAGGTACTTTTCACGTTCATTTTGTGGCTCCATCTATCGCTCAAGGTACTTTTAGAGACCCACGCGAAAGTACAGGCTTGGACTTCTTCCTAATTTTATATTCAAAGCTACAACGCAAGATTCACTTTCTGATGCTGCTATTATTTTTTGATAATTTTGTACTATTTTTTTACCACAATTTTTCACACCAATGTTTTGTCTAAAAGACATTACGTCGGGGCGCTTATTAAGAACTGCAAGGAGTCGATTGTGTCTGCATATCTGTCTGTCTGTCTGTATACTGTCTATACAAATTCAACATTGCTGTAAAAAAAAAGGACAAAGCTGAATAATACGATCAATATTGTAACCAACAGTAAAAATATAATAATACTTCATAAAATACTTGACGTAGACACGACAATCAGAACAAAAGCTGGGGATTGTGACAGAAGAGTAATTTCAATTATTCCTCCATCTTTCTTGTGCTTTCCAAACTAAATGTAGGTACCTATTACTAAATATTGTACAGTTTATTATTTAGTTATATGTGTAGCTGTAGATATCATTTGTGTTATATTAACAATAAATTAAGTGTCACGATTAAAAAACTATAATTAAAGGTTAAATTCGCCCACAATACCTATCTGACCTTGTGCTTTCATTCCTTCGCCCGCAACTTGTGGAGTATAAACCAGTGGCACTGATACTCAACGGATCCATGAATGGAACCATCCCCAACTTTACTGCTACTTATTAGCGCTGTGGCGCCCCCTGCGTGCTTATAATTTGCGCCTATTTGACTCCTAGCATTTCCCACTGGTCTGAAATCTCTATTTAAGTAGTAGATAGGCTATGAGAGTTCTGGCCCACTTTTGGTCAAAATCCCATGTTATTTCCCATAAGAAATTCTAAGGTCCATTTCGGTCATTTTTGTATCACTTCTGTCATGTGCGCATGCGCGTCCCGGGCTCGCCGGCAGGGATGTCGTTGGTCGCAGGGGCCGGAGGGTGGTATTTCGGAGAGGCGTTGGTCCGGGCAGCCGGGGTGTGGGACTTTTACCGCCTCAGCTTAATCGACTTATTTCGACAGCCGTGGTGTTGGTATAGGCTCTCGGGGTGAGGGACTGTTTTTCCGTCCAATTAGTTTCGCTCCTTTTTTTTCGGCAGCCCGGGTCAAGGTTATTTTGGGAGGCTTCAGTTCGGATCGAGGTTCGAACCTACTTCCCTCCGCACTTACTGCTGTATCAGAGGTCGGATAACCAACTGCGCTACCAGAACTATTACTTATCGACTGATATAGATGAGCCGTGTCTTTCCGTTTGCCTCATATTTTTGACAGTTATGCTTCTCATAAGCGTTGCGGTAAATTTGTAGACGCGGGGATTCGAACCATCGATCTTTACATTAGAACCATCCATCTGAACCACTCGGCTACCGCGCCTTAATCATATCTACGTTAAAACAATCATAGGTAGGTAATTACTTGTGCTATTTATAGAATAAAAGGAAGCATTGTAGAAAAAATCGTTCCCCGATTCTCTAATTATTAAAACGAGAATTAGTCGACGTGTTGTTTAGATTTCCTATAATTATATGACATTGCATCATCCAGCTGTAATACTAGGTAACTTGTACTATCCAAGTCGTACGTGTATGGATGTTCTTCATATTCATTTTGCGATTATGGATAAAAATAAATGTTATATGGAATAGACTTCCTGGGATGGAATGTGTAAAAATGATCGGTCAGCTATTATACAATCGTCCTCTCCCTTACTACTTCATTGTTGAAAGCATTGTAAATTTAATTACGAAGAATAATTTCAAATTCCAATACATAAATAGAACAAATGCAATTCTCGTATCATAGTACGCATTCAAAAATTATACTGGGGCGTATTAGAATTCTTTTTGGGGAGCTTCATGGTAATACAAGCGGTATTTGGCAGCTACGGGAATGAAAAAAAAACGACTGAAGAAAAACTGCGCTACATTGGTAATCTTTCCCGCGATTTTACGTATAGTAACACTTTTGTCAAATTCTTTTTACCACCGCGCACATCAAAAGTTCGTTAAGAATTAATCTATTGTAGGTCTGGTTAAGTAAAAAAAAGTGTGGGTTGGTAAATTAATAGATTGATATAGAAAAACTAATTCAAAAATACATTAGGAGGGATACCAAATCTGCACATTAATCAACATCCATCGGGTTATCGGCAACATCTTGAGGTTTATCAATAGCATAATGGCCCCACGGAAGAGTGTTAAATGAGCCGGGAATTAGATACCTCTTATCGTCTTCGGGACTTAGAGCAATTTTCGACTGTGTTATAGAATACACTTGATGTTTATCTGTCCGAATCAAATTTTGAGATGCTGTTTTGCGCTTAAATGTCTCCAGACATTCCACATAATCATCAAAAGAAATTTTAGTCTCGACTACACTTTTCTTTACCCCCTTTGCCTTTTTTATCAAACCATAATTTTTAATAATCGTAGCAATTTCATCCTCCTCATACTCTTCCGCTTCTAATTTCTGACGCAATTTTATTAAATCATCCTTGGTGGTTAATACTTTGGTCGTGTACAGTTTAGATCGCAATCCTACATAATCAGTCATTACTTTCCCATTATTTTCATCCTTCATCATACCCAAGACTTTCTTATTTACAAGAGGTATGTCATATGGGTTGTTAGGGTTAAAATCGCTGGTATCGTAATATTTAAAACAATCGCTTTTAATAACCATATACGGGTCTTGCTCTCGAATTTCATAAATTAAACTATCGGTATCAGTATAAACGGCAGTACAGTTACCTCCAAATCTATCCATCATGTAGTCGTAGTGAAAGCTGTATATGGTCGTCTTAGCTAAATCAAGAATGGCTTGACCTACGTATATAGGTTTATTTAAATATACTTCAAGCTTATTCATTTCTACCGCCACCAAGTTCTCATTAAATATAACGCAAGATTTAAATTCTGGTTTTGAGATATATGATTCTGCACCATAACGACCCTCCCATTTGGATAATAATTTAACGTCAAGTCGTTTTCTAACATTTTCCATGGTCTTCCCAAAGACTGCGTTGTTCATCAACTTAAACAAGTTCTTCTCAAATTCATTCTTGGCATTTCTTCTTAGGTTCGTATTCAGGTCAATGTAGGACTTTAGCCAAGGGGACTGTTTAAATTTTAGTACTCTATGTACTTTAGTGAGAACTAATCCGTGAGCTAATGCTTGTTTCAAGGCGCGATAATGGATGACGTATTTTTCTTTATTATTTAGGGTTGCCATGAGTTTTGAAGTTTCTTTAGCTCTAGATGGTGGTTTCATGGTTTTCGGGTTGATATGTAATGCACAGAATGGTAAATCTTGATGTAAGTCATGCAACTGCTTTGGATACTCCAAATCAACTTCTAGAATGTAGCCTTCATTTGCATCATCCGGGATCATAGTAACATCGATGTTGGCATCTACCCATTGAAACCCCCCATAAGGAAGATATTGACTCATACTCCATCCATATTGGTTATTAATATCATTGTACATCAAATATACATCAGGTTTCGCTGAATCATACTTGGGCATGTATTTATTATTTGCGTGGACTCTTCTCTTAGAGCAGACTTGACTCAAACCTCCTCGAATACCTCGCTCAATAAAAAGAAACATATCTTGGTCGGTAAGGAGTTCTAACTCTTGCCGCGTGTGTTTCAACATGGCATCCCAAGTAAAGCCTGGCAGTGTAAAGTAGTGGGCTGGATCTAAATCATAAGTACTAATACAGCTTGATCTAAATAGTTCAAATACATCCGCAAGGAGGAGAATATCGGTCTTCATATATAACTCAACGTATTGACCTAAATTGTTGCAGTTAAATTTGCTCCACACCTCTTGAGCTCTACGATACATCCTACGGGGACAAGGCTTATCTTCCAATTTATTGTAAAACGCATCTTGAGGAGGGAGGCAAGGCTCATCGAAACGGGTAAATGAGTCTAAATAATCATACGGCATAATACCCTTTTTAGTTAAAAGATTAAATTGATCTTCAGGTAGAGCAAAGAATTGTGACTTGAGATTGGGAAATTCTGTTAGAGCTGATGATAATTTATCTAAGGATGATGCCATAAACCGGAAGCTATCTATAAATCTAAAGTTGATGCGTGACTCGTTGATATGTTTGGTAAAAGAGATATATTTTTCTTTGGTTATAGGAAGCAAGTCGATTTTACCACCCATTCTAGTGGCAATATCCGTTATAAGAAAGTGAGCGTCATATCCACTCAAGTTGTGGAATACTACCGGAATTGTATGAGTGTCCTGATAGTTGACGTTACAAATTTCACATGCAGCTCCGCGGAAGTTGTTCTCTGGAATGAGGTGATTGTGATCTCGAACCTTCTTCTGCCCTGCTGTAAATGGCTGTTCGCAAATGTGGCAGTGAGTTGCTGTTTGGAATTCGATTTCTTGTTGTGGAGTCATTTGCATCTTATAGGGGCAAAGAAACACAGTAGAGACATCTTCCGCGAGTTGATTCATCTCGTCAGCAAACCACCGCATACAATCTTCACCACGGTAACTATTGTAGAATGAAAGAGATTCGTCATATGAGCACTTGAAGTAGTATCCCACAGCTGCCGGAATATGTTGCTGGTATGCGGTCTTTTTCGCGCTAGGTTTCAGGACACTCTCGAGATCTGCATATACTACGAAGGGGGCTTTTATTTTATTTTTAAAATTTTTAAACTTCAACATCTTTTTTTCTTCCGTAGGCATCTTGATTGCGGTATCATTCTTCTGCATACAATCTCCAGTATGCTTAATTAATTTGTCTTCAGAATGAAAATAGTGTAAACATCTATCACAAACATATTTTTGTCCATTCCTTTTGCCTAACTTTTTAGATACTAGCCGTGAAAGATTTTTGATCCAAACATAATGGAATTTAGTGGGTTGTTCATAGCAGTCTTGCACTAAAAGCAGGTTCACATGTTTATCCATCTTTTCCTTAGTTAGGTATGTAGGCAGGGTACTAAACTGATCCTTTTTCTCTTTCTTCAAAATGTACACATTAATGGAGATATTGTTCTGTTTTTCAAAATTCGAAATTTGTCTCATGGTCATCGGAAACTGGATCCCTTTTAGCTTAAGCACAGACGAGTAGTGAGGGTATTTAGATATTCTTTGAGGATGTTTATCAGCAGGATATAATGCTGAAACCACCGCCCACGCAAAGCACGCATGATCCTCGTTCTTGACGTTAACACAGGCCTTTTTTGTTTGAATTTGCGGAGGTAACTCAACATATGAAGACCCAAGTTGAGGTGTAAATTTGTTAAAATTAACCCCTAAATTAACGACGGCTCGAAGTGCCCAACCGCTGTTACATTCCTGAAACTCCGATAACTTCTTCATTAGGGGTTTACTAACCTTTTCCTCAAACCACTCTTCTATGTCAGTACCCCTATATATTGCCGCATTTGATGTTGTGAAGTACTTATACTCATTGAGAGTCTTTTCCCCTTGAGTAATCACAAATTCCCCGCAAAAAATCGCATTTACTTTCACAGCCTCGTCTTTTTTCAAGGCGTTGAAAACCTGTCGTTTGAAGATTACCTTACAGTCCACTAAGAAGCGGCTGGGGTCTTTATGTTTGAGATTAGTAATAACACCAGTCCGTATTCTATTACTAAAAGCTGAAATGGAGTCATCCCAATGAACGCGATGCTTTGCGGTTTCTTTGTTCAATGCTATACCCTGGCCCCTCTTTTGTTCTAATTTAAAATGCTTACGCATCGATTTAATATTACGTAAACAAGCCTCATGATGTTGTTTTTCACCTATAGGTAAAGCTCCACGCAAAGAATTCCGAATCCTACGTGTCGCTTTATCACACTCTCTTATCCCTTCCCTAACTGATTTATCGCTGTAATTAGTTCTTAACACACCTAAAATACCTGCAATGTGTTTCACTAAATCTGCAAACATCTTACACGTCTAATGAATTTTAACAATAAACTAAAAAAACCTACTGCTAATAAAAATAAAACTCACCAACACGACTAATAAACAAAAACGTCTAAACACAACGAATACTAGAGCAGGAATGGAAAAAATCTGAATAATGCACCTTTTATAGCGAGCTGAAGTTACGTGTACCTGTACGTGTAATCAATTTTAATAATAAATTAAAAAACTATTAATAATAAAAATAAAACTCACCAACACGACTAATAAACACAACACGTCTAAACACAACGAATACTAGAGCAGGAATGGAAAAAATCTGAATAATTCCTCTTTTATAACGCGCTTCGAAGTTACGTGCACGTCAAATAATAATAAATTTAAAAGAATAACTACTACTGCTAATAATAATAAAACTCACCAACAGATAGGTAACTAATAAACACACAAACGCAACGACTAATTGCAAGCAATACTCGAATAGAAATGGGAAAAAATTTGAATAATCACCCTTTTATAAGGCGCTGAAAATGCAATTTCTAATGAGAGTGTGTATATTTCTGCGAAATGATGATCGCTCTCCTCGGCTCTCGTTTCAGAAAAGAACAAAGTCGATTCATCACTATTTTTTACACCCGTGCGGCGTGCTTCCGAACTCAGGCCATTTTAAAATTTGAAACACATTATTGTACTTATTTGTTTATAATTATTTACTTTCATCTCCAATCCAACAAGAACACGACAGGCGCTTTGAATAATAGTGTTGAGGTAAGCATTTTCAATTAGACGTTTGCTATACGTAAAATTACACGGGAAATTTAGTGTAATAGATACATTTTTTCGTGAATTTGCAGTTTGATTAATGAGGGCGAAGCCCGAGTTAATCAAGCATATTAATGAAAAAAGACACTTTCAACACGTGTTGTACACGAAATTTTTTTGCGTAGTGATCCTTAATTACACATAATTGAATAATATAATTGACATTCGCGATTTACTGTCACTCAAAATTTGAGCTATTGTTCAAAGACAGGACGGTGGACAGGACTAAACGCCATGGAAAAGAATGGTAAAAATCGTGAAAAAAAGTACCGCTTTCCATACGATTTATTGACAAAAAAGTTCGGTAATTTGATAACTATGCAAAAAAAATTACGGAATTATCTGCATAACTAACGAGTTGTAATACAAAAGCTGATAAGTGCGCGCGAGTATAGTTCGTGCTGAATGCGTACTGTGCAAGAGCAGTAAAGGACGACGGGGACGAGCAGATACTTATTAGGTACCGAGAATTGCATTTGTTTATAGGTTTATATTTTGAACTTGAAATTAATTTACTTTCATCTCCATTCTCCAGTCCAACACGACAGGGTGCTCGTTGGAGTGGGGTAAGCATTTGCCATGAGTGCAACGCGTATTTTAAATATGGACCAATTACACTTTTTAGTGTGTGAACATAATAATGCAATACTGAATCGTTCAAGTAGGCATGGCGGCTTCATTATGAGATTGGGGAATGTAAGAAATTGCTTCGCCGCAAAAAGGATATGCACTTACTCGTATTTGGATACCTCATAGCCGCCCGAAATTTCGAACTCACAGTAAAAAAGGACCTTGCGTGCGCGCTAATGCAGAAGGTACCTTCAGAAAAATGGACACGAAAAAATCGCGGTGCATTTCCTATATTGGAATGTTCCCCGACGAACTTTTGATGTGCGCGGTGGTAAAAAGAATTTGACAAAAGTGTTACTATACGTAAAATCGCGGGAAAGATTACCAATGTAGCGCAGTTTTTCTTCAGTCGTTTTTTTTTTCATTCCCGTAGCTGCCAAATACCGCTTGTATTACCATGAAGCTCCCCAAAAAGAATTCTAATACGCCCCAGTATAATTTTTGAATGCGTACTATGATACGAGAATTGCATTTGTTCTATTTATGTATTGGAGTTTGAAATTATTCTTCGTAATTAAATTTACAATGCTTTCAACAATGAAGTAGTAAGGGAGAGGACGATTGTATAATAGCTGACCGATCATTTTTACACATTCCATCCCAGGAAGTCTATTCCATATAACATTTATTTTTATCCATAATCGCAAAATGAATATGAAGAACATCCATACACGTACGACTTGGATAGTACAAGTTACCTAGTATTACAGCTGGATGATGCAATGTCATATAATTATAGGAAATCTAAACAACACGTCGACTAATTCTCGTTTTAATAATTAGAGAATCGGGGAACGATTTTTTCTACAATGCTTCCTTTTATTCTATAAATAGCACAAGTAATTACCTACCTATGATTGTTTTAACGTAGATATGATTAAGGCGCGGTAGCCGAGTGGTTCAGATGGATGGTTCTAATGTAAAGATCGATGGTTCGAATCCCCGCGTCTACAAATTTACCGCAACGCTTATGAGAAGCATAACTGTCAAAAATATGAGGCAAACGGAAAGACACGGCTCATCTATATCAGTCGATAAGTAATAGTTCTGGTAGCGCAGTTGGTTATCCGACCTCTGATACAGCAGTAAGTGCGGAGGGAAGTAGGTTCGAACCTCGATCCGAACTGAAGCCTTCCAAAATAACCTTGACCCGGGCTGCCGAAAAAAAAGGAGCGAAACTAATTGGACGGAAAAACAGTCCCTCACCCCGAGAGCCTATACCATATATATAAGAGGTATATATGGCCTAAAGGTCGTATTAAGTCCTCACGATGACAAACGCGTCATATGCGCTAATCGTATCGATACACGGCCTTGGGGATATTGTAATTTTAGTAATCCTACCTAATACAACCATACTAACGACTAATACGACGATGTCGATATTCCACAACCTTCGCGTCTTTTAACCACACCTTTTGTATTTTAGAAAACCCCTCAACAATAACAACAACAACAACAATACGGATAATGGATAGCGAAAATTTGAAAATACAATTGGAGGAGGAGCTATACAAAGCTTCTATTCCCATTTATAAACAATTTTTAAAACAAGCTCTATTGAGAAACTCATCCACTACATTCATTAATAAACCTCATTATCCTCCCCGATGAATGTTTCGGTTGGTGTGCTTGCTCTAGAAATGTATGTGAAACTAATATTAGATTACTGATAGAGAGAAAAATTGAACTGGATAGGTTAGTAAAATCAATATCCTGTAATGTTAGTGATTGTAGTAGTGGTAGTAATATTGATAGTTTACCGTTTCATATCAAACAATATGTAATTAATTTACTCAAGTCTTCTGCAGGTGTGTATAAGGATATTTCATATGTAATAAATGAAAGTATTTGTAAATCTGCAGAATATGCCAATGTTAATGCCCTAACATTATTTATTAAAGTATGCGTAGAAAAGGGAATAGAGTGTAGATTTAATACGCACGAGGACAATCGTCATCGCGAGATATACACATGGATATTGGAAAATATCCGTAAAGGCGAAGAGAATCCTGATGCACTTCTCGGTTGGACCTGCGGACCAGACTCCGCAATATGGCCCTCTACTCAATTGCTCGATTATAAAAAGACTCGAGAATTACTTTTAACGATAATGAGAAAAAGAGACACTAGGAAATATGTTGTATGGTGAATTACAATAATAAAAAGTAAATATTTAAGTTTTTAGTTATTTATTTATTCAAATCGACACATCATAACCTTATAGAACAACATTATTTTTATCAATCCACGATTTCTCGTCCAGACCCAACCATTTCACGTACACTTTGTCTTTCTTGCGACGCAGGACTTTTTCAACCAAGTATACGTCCGAATACTTGGCCTTCTGCAACTCATGTTCGTAAAATCCACCTAAAATCGGTTTAGCCTTCATGTCTTCCAACAAATACGTGACCGGATTTGTTATTTGTACTTTTATAATTTTGAACAGCTCACTGGACCAATTGGGGGTGTAGCCCTTCGCAAATATGGATTTAAATTTGCTAATTCGAACTACATCGCCGACATTAAAACGACATTTCTTATTGTTGAAGAGCTTGATGTGGTTGTAGGCGTCCAGCTTTGTATCGGCCTTCACTTCGATCGGTTTCATCCCCGTTGTTCGATGTTTACGATTATTGTACTCGCTCGTGATCGATTCGATTGCATCTATCCATACATATTTTCCGCGTAAACTAAACTGCCGGTACAAGGGGTTTTTTATACTTCTTATAACCCTCTCGGCCAGTGCGGCCTTTTTCGTACTGTACGTGGAATAGTGATTAATGCGTTCTTGCATCATTAATTTGGCGAATGATTTGTTATAGAATTCCTTCCCTGCATCGGTCTGTAGATTTTTCGGTCTGCGTCTCGTAGATTTGAAAATAGCCTGTACGGCTTTTGTCACCTCCTCACCCGTTTTAGTCTTCAACCCTCGCGTCCATAGATATTTTGAAAAACAATCGATAACTACTAATATGTATTTGTAGCCTTTATTCTCTTTTGCGTAAGGTATAAATTCGGCTAGATCTGCTTGCCAAAGATCATCGAAGCCTTTAATGATGGTACGTCTACGAGGGAAGTTTTTGCGCGCCGCTTTGTGTAACTCGTTCACCACCTGCTGCATCCTCTATTAGTTTATGTAAAGTTTCTTTGACCGCTTTCAACTCTTCCTCTAGTACCGCTACGTAATTGCGAAGACTGTCTACGGGCGCTTTCGCAATCTGCATGTATTGTGTGAGGTACCCTTTATTTATGGCATCGCGGTCGTCTACTGGATCGGCGAGGTTCATTAACCGGTTTCCGTTGAGATTTAGTCTTGTTGATAGGTAGTGTTGCAACGTTAGGGCATCGTGACGTTCAATAGGATCCACAACATTACTTAGTCTCTTATTTTCCACATTTATAGTATCGTCGGTAATGGAAAATTTTGTCTTTAGCAGTTTCCCAAATTGAGCGTGGGTATGAGAACGTCCGAATTTATCCATGGCGAATGTGGGCAAGAAGACGGAAAAGGGGGTATTTATACTAGTTGACGTAAAAACGGTCGCGTGGGCTTTTTTATGTAACCTTCCTCGTACAGCTCTTCCACGATTGATATTATATCATTTTGTACTCCAGTGTTACCAGCCATTTTTTCACCCCATAAAACCTCTAAATCCCTAATCAGTTCATGCACGCTATTCCAGTATTTGTATTCGGTCGGTCGGCCGAGTTCCTTGAATATACCGCTTCCGGATTTCGCACGCCCCCTCTTCGTCTCTTCCTCCTCCTCCTTTAGTAGAGGCTTTATTATGAGCTTATACTTTTTGCTCTTATTGCCTCGAATCTGATCGGTGGGATCGTAATTGCGCCGTGCGACATGAGTTGCTATTATTATCTGCTTATAGTTATTTCTATCCTGATTGGATACTAGCGATTCATTCGGTTCATTCATAATGATCAGTTCGTATAGGCCCGCAGTACCTTTGTACCGGATCCCGTTAACGACCAAATCTTCGTCACTTATCGTCACCGGCGTCCTGCCCATCGTCCACTTATCCGTTTCGACATCATAATGAATTCCAAAAGTCGTGTCAATTGCATTACTCGTATCCCTTATCATGCGCTCGACGTATATCCGCGGTAGGTGGTTGTATTGTTCCAAAAAGGCTTGCGAACCTTGCATATCGAGTAATGAAGCAGATGATGATGCGACAGAGGATTCTTCTTCTTCCTCCTCCGGTTGATGCTCTCCTATCACTGTACTCTGTAGAAATGACGGCGGCTGTCTCAATGATGGAGTAGCCGTCGGGTGAAAAGGTCTAACCATCGGACTCATATCGGTTGGCGGATATTTTTGAAAGTAGGGCAGTCTAGCCAGCGGACTGATCTCGGTAAGGGAAGAGGGTCTTCGTCTCGATCGCATGTAATAAGGTATCGCAGGAGTCGTACGTTGTAGTGGTGACTTTCTTTTTGCAGGAGATTGGCGTTTTTTAG